CCACCATATAATGGGTTTAAAACAGGTTAGTTGATGCCATATAAAGCTTTTTGACAATTTTTTGTAACATTGCATTGATTTTTGCGTCTCATTTTTTGTGCAAGATCCAGATATGCCTTCGAAGGAATAGGCGACACAGTCTGACATGTCTCAAAATGTGATCCATTAAGCAAATATTTATTAACTTTGATTTCAAAAGATATGTCATGACATTCTTAATAGTATTCAGGAATTTCATTTTGGCAAATTTATGTAAATATTTTTTCTTCATTTCAATTCGATTCGATTCACTTTATTTCAAATTTAGTAGACATATAAGAGTTCACAATGACCCTTTTGGGTGTATACGATCCATGTTTATGTTTTACATTTTTTACATGCAAGCTTTCAGCATATTATATTGAAGCATAGTGTGACCAGTTTTTCCAATTTTACACATCAATTCCTCATAAGAACAAAGTCTATCATTTTTGACAATATCATTCATGAATATTATTCCTCTCTTTATCCCATTATAAAAAAACGAAGTACAGATTTACAAAAAAATGTTAAAATGCTCACATCCTTTAAGTTTGCTAAAATTTATATTCAATTTGATATTCGATACATTTTTTCAACCTTGTTAAACATATATAATGGTATACCCATCCAGTGAAAACTGCTTTCATCTTGCAAACGTTTGATCCACTGAATTGCAAAGGCTGGGACGGAAAAATGTTTTTGAATTTTTGAAAATGAAACTCTGGTTATTCAGAAACTGTTTTCTGAACAAAGCTAGCGGCTTGTAGTTTAATGTATTTTTTTAATTCATGTATATATTCCTCATTTTATAGCTTTGTGTTCATCAAGTCATTTAATAATATTACAATATCTTTAAAAATGATACAATGTTAATTCTTGAACATAAGTAGTTGTTTTTTAGTTAGTTACATACTTTATTGTCAAACTATGATACATAAATTATACATCAACTGACACTTTAACAAGTGTATGAAGTTGTTTAGTGACAAAAATGAAAATTCAATAATAACTATACATATTGATAGCATATGTATGTATCTAACTTATGGCTAGTGGTGGTGGGTTGTGGCTGCCAATGTGTGTTAATTAACTCTATTTCAGTTTAGGAAAAATGTATGGATGGAAAGGTAGATGAGGTGACAATATATAATTATATTTCAGCAATTAATTAGTTTTTCTTTCTAGTCATTTTAAATTGAAGTAAAGAAGGCAAAAATCTGACATGATCTGAGATAGAATTCCAGATTCTTGGACCCTGTACTTTGATTGAATATAACCCTATTTTTGTTTTGTAAGCCCTAGCATGTAAATCATGACTTCTTCTGGTAGGATAATTGTGAAAATATTCATTTTGATTAAAATAATCATTATATAGTTTTGAATAAACAGGTTCCTGGTAAATACAACAATAGACAAAATACGAAACATTAAATTCATACACCTGGTTTACAGGTAAAATGTTGTACTTCTTAAAGAGAGGTGCTGAATGTGCCATTCTTGGCTGGTTGTCTAATATTCGAAGGAATCTCTTTTGAAATAGAAGTAGGAAATGCAGCTCATTTGTATGAGCATTGCTAAGGCCACCCCAGATTAAATTACAGTAATTTATATGTGAGTATATCAGGGAATTATAGATTGCCAAAAGACTTGTTTTATTCAATAGGTGGCGAATCTTACATAAGAGACCAATTGTTCTGGATATTTTTTCTTCTATATGTTTAATATGTTCTTTCCAGGTAATATGTTCATCAACAATGACACCTAAAAAGTTGATAGATTTTACTCTTTCAATTTGTTTCCCGGACATATCAGTTTTAATATCAAGTAAATTTAGGCTCATACAGTATTTGTAGTTTTTACGTGAAGCAAACGTCTAAGGTTGGTAATATAAACTCCAGAGATTGGTTCAATTTGCTACATTTGACAATAGTTTTTTGTCAAGTGAAAATTCACCTGTTCCTAATTTTAATCCAGAGTTCAGTATTGTGTCACTTGTTATGCCTCTCAATACACAATGTGATTCGAGTCGGGGCAATCTGCGCGAGGTTCGGTTTTTCATTACTTTGAGGTACTTCATTCCAATGATTCAAGTTGCTTTTCTCGGTTTAGGTTTGTATACCAGACGTCCACAAATTAGGGGCAAGTTCATATTCTGTCATTACACTTCTGTTGGGCGTATACTTTATGTTTTTAAACCAAACAAATTTTTCGAATTCCCGCAATATAAGGTGCATCATGGGTAGGAACTGCTGTGAATTAATGAACATAAAAGTGAAATCTATTTGAAATTATAAGTTCTAATTAAGTTATTAAATGCGCATGCGTTGTGATAAATTGAACCAATTAAATTGCTTGATTTAATGCCCATGCGCGAAAATCCAAACCTAAAAATAGAACCTCGCGCAGATTGCCCCTAGTGGCTCATTCTTATAAATATTGACAGGATTCAAAGGGAATCTATGCCATGCTGGAACGAACGGAATAATTCAAATAGGCACTATGCATATTTTTGAAGAAAAAATTATGAAAGGAGTAGCGAGCATGGAAAACAGCGTTCAGAGATCCGTAGAAGTGCATGGTCTCGTCTAGAGTTGCTTCTAGATAATTCTTGCTTTAAAAGATGGCGTATGATTGACAATTTTTTTCAAAAATGAATGAATCATGTGTTGCAAACAACTTCGCCATCTTTCATTGAAATAAATAAAAAATGAATATCAAAAGATATCAGAAGGATGGCATTAATTTGTCCAAAAACGAATTGTCGTTATAAACTCGGCAGATGGTGGACATGCATACTTTGTACTATTTTGTTCTTGCAAAACTACTGGTAAAAATTGAAGTTCGAAGTAAGATATGTACACATAAATCTTGCAGCACTCTCTGAATGCTCTTAGGAAAAAATATATTTACAAACTTGACAAAACTTCGTACTTTTGAAAACTAAGGAGAAAACATACTTGTTTGACACACTGTAAGTAGGTGGTTAAGGACAGTGTTTTTCTTTGACGTCTGGCCGGCAATATCCGTCAAATTTTGGAGAGATATTCAGGAGATATTTTACTGAAAAATCAAATCCAAATATAAGAGCTTGCAGAAATCTTACTGTGGTCGGAAGAGATTATTTTGCGAAGTCGCCTAATCCCAGCATGCGAATAATTTTACAGAAATTCACGAGTGCGCAGAATCAATTGGCAAAAATGATCAATTGATATGAAATATGCTGGATGGTCATAATTTAGCTTGCTGTTCTATGTAATCCATTTACTATACACAATCCCAAGCTAGTTAGATTGTCTAAATCACGACTGTGTTCAATCTGGCCGTTCCAGTAATAAGTCTACTCCTCTATGAGTACATAACGATCGGTAATAATGCCTAAAATGGTAGAATCAGAGGACACAGATGTTTGATTGTCTAAAACCCAAAGTACCTTGTGACTCATGCAAGCTTGTTCTGAACCTGCTATGCGACTTCCCCGGAGATTCCAGGATTTTGGGATTTGCACTGATCTGAAGAATGATCCTTAAGAAAGTCAAAATCTTCGAACTTCGCATCTCTGAACAGTAAATAAAATACAGTACCGTATGTCGAAAATCAAAAATACTATGGTCACTGGCGGATCTGGTTGAAGAGGGGAGATTGGGCAGAGATTCAACACTCGTTGGACAGAACGTCAGTACAAATGTATTCACCTTCGGTATATACTTTGTACAACATTCTGTCCACCTCGTGATAAAGTTCACCATATTTAATGGCCTATCATTATACATTCCTTGAATAATCTTTTTAAACTTGAAAATTGAACCCTTCAAAGACTGTATCAGTCACGACCCACGTGCGTGGTACGTTGGTACGAGGTACGATTTTTTATACAAAGCCTCTGGTGAGTCGATTCGGATGTAAATTGTTGCATCTTATTTGCTAGATTCTGTAAAATATTCCGCATGTACCTTTAATTTCAGGTTCCTCTGAAAGAACATGAATTCAATTGGTGTCTATTGGACTGTTGTTTGTTTTGTGATTAAATTGTGTTTACTAACAATGTGCTCAGTTGAACAACCTGGCAGCTGGTTTCATTTTGTAGCGGTGATTTCACTGTTCCACAACTACGAAGTAGTTACTTTGACGTAACAAATAGATGAGGACTTCCTCTTTACAAGTTTTCTGTTTTCTCGATTTAAACCTTCTTATAAGTCAAGCTGTAGTTTATAATTTGGCACAAAGTTAGAAAATATAGTCTCGTTTTAATAAGTTTCTTCGTTTTGGAATTTGTTTTGTAAATGAAGTTGCAATTCATATATTTAGCTCCTCGCTTTTGTTACATTGACGAAAGTCCGTTATATTACCTATGTATGTTACTTTGACGACTTACGTCAATGTAACAAAAGCGATGGTCTAAATGCATGAATTACAGCTTTTTTGAAAAATCAAATCCCAACCGTGAGCATTTCTAAAAGCTAAACTATATTGTCTAATTTTGTGCCAAATGATAATCCGCAAGATGACTAATATGTAAGTTCAAATCGAGAAAACAAAAAACTCGTATCCAGAAAGTTCATCCATTTTGTTACATTGACGTTCCGTCAAAGTAGCTAGTTGTGGAACAGTGGACTTGTAGTTACATTTTTATACATTGTACAAGATGGTTTCATTTGCGTTTCCTCTGATTGCAAGTTGCAACGCAATACTGCTATCACCCCCTTATATCTTTACATCGGGTGTAACAGCTATAATAGGTAATGACTATTTAGGCTCGTATGGAAATATTACTAACTTTGGACTCACATACATTTTGCCTGGTGTCGCCCATATACAAGCTTGTATAACCAGGTAAAACATCCAGCGAACGGTGTCAATACTAGCTTGTAACATGACTAATCATACTTTAGTATTGTGCCCTAAAAAGTATGTACGAGTATTTTACAAATGCTAATTCCATGATTATCATTTTCAAACTAACTCTAACTGTTAATGCTTTTCAGATACGCTAAAAGTCTCGGATTATTATTAATGATGAAGACGGACTGCATTGAAAAGCCACTAGCTGGTTTGTTATGCAGACTCGGCAAAATAGTTGCACGATATCCATGGCCTTTCATCGTTATCCCTGTTATCATATCTGGTGGCTGCGGCGTTGGCCTGCTTCGACTTAAAAATGTTGTTGACACTGAGTATCTGTACACACCAGATGATGGCCCTGCGAAAGAAGAACGCGCCATCCTGAGGCGGTATTTTACCATGGACTGGTCAACAAACTTTCAGGCCACTAGAAGTCTCACTTTAGATGGTTATGCACGTGTTATCTTCATCCCCAAAGACGGCAATAAAAATGCTCTCTCGACAGAGATTGTACAGGAAATAATTGACATTGATGCAAAAATTCGGGCCCTAAAGACGACGGATGGCAAAACATATGACTATTACTGTGCAGGATCAAACGGTTGTTATACTAATAATATCCTAGAAATCCTAAACTACACGGCAAGCAATATAAATAACGCTAATCTGACATTTCCAATGTTTCATCAGCGATTTCTAGGAACTGAGCTGGGTGGCGTGAAATTGCAAGGAGATGGTGAATTAGTTGAGTCGGCGGAGGCAATTCGACTTCAGTATTATGTTAGATACGAAAATGCAAGCAATATGGCTGTCTCTGATGTTTGGCTTGAAGCGTTCAAGTCCTCTATGCTGTCCATCGACACAGACAAACTTAACGTTCACTTTCTCACATCTAAGTCATTAACCGAGGAACTGCAAACTGCAACGACTGGTATCATTTCTAAGTTTTCAATAACGTACACTATTCTTTGTGTGTTTTCCATCTTGTCTTGTTTCATGTTTGATTGGGTTCGCAGTAAACCGTGGTTAGGGTTCATCGGTGCAATAACGGCGTGCCTTGCCATACTAACATCACTTGGGTTGCTGTGTGCCGTCGGTGTGGAGTTCACAAGTATCGTGGCAACAATGCCATTTCTTATAATCGGTATGTACCATGACTCTACCTATAACATCTTTTAATTTTTTTATCTTTAGAATTGATTTTGACTACACATATAAAACATCAATCGTACTTATACCACGTGAGCGAGGGTATACAAATTATTTTTGAATTCTTTTTGTTAAATGAACTAAACTTTCCTTTGTATAATTAAAATATTGAGAGACCCAAACACGTTGTGTATATGTCATACTAAAGACTGTTTAAGGCCGAAGTAGCTAATTACAGTCATATTTCCTGACCACAGCCAGATTTAGCCCGTTTTACGACTTTTATAGGACTTGAAAGAACGATTGAGAACTAGTTTGGTTTGATAGGGGGTCACATGTTTATCTGATTTGTAACTCCTATGTTTCATATTACTGTACAACGATGTCGTTTTCAGTAGTTTGTTTTCGCTCATTCTTATTAATTACATAGAGCCACTGAGCATTATTGTCGCCTATTCCCTAACATCCACTTGATGTATATTATCGATATTTAAGGCATTGGGTTGGATGATATGTTCATTCAAATCTCAGCCTGGAGGCAGACAAGTTACCATAAAACGGTTGAAGAAAGAATGGGACTCACGTTCAAGGATGCTGCGATGTCAATCACGTTGACTTCCCTAACAAACACCCTTGCGTTCTGTATCGGCGCCATTACATCATTTCCAAGTGTTCGTATCTTTTGTCTGTTTACTGGAGTGGCGGTTATATTCTGCTACATCTATCAGATAACCTTTTTCGGAGGATGCATGTCTCTCATTGGAAGAAGAGAACACACCAACAGACATTGTTACGCCTGTATCGAGGTTCTCCCGAAAGAAGAAGCGGGTATGTCATATAAAACATGAAGGCCCTATTTTATTTTAGTATATTATCCTACACTTAGTGTACTAATTGTACAACAACAATAAAAATGATATTGATATCTATTGGCAAAATGAATAATCGGGGGATATCGTGACGGTATACTCCAGAAAACCAATATGCGGAAAATATCGTGACGGTATACTCCGGAAAACCAATATGCGGAGTATATTGTGACGATATACTCCGCTTGATGATTTCCCACCAAATTGAACTATATATTTGAACTACACACAATTCATTTTTCAATCATATCGTACCAATTTAGTACACTACTAGTAAGTGTAGGATAATAACTTAGAACATCCTATGATTTTTTCAACTTCCGTTGAAGGAAATGTTTATTTTCATCATTTACATTGTAAACCAGGAAGGAGGTTGATTTCTGTCCAGATATTTAACTGTATCTTAATAGTAACATCCGTTTAGTGAAAAGCTAGTCAGTTACAAGTAAGTATACGAGGGTTGTCCCAGAAGTAATGCACTATATGCTCTAACTTTCTTTAATATTCTTCAATTCAGCTGAAATTTTGTGTATATAACAATTGAAGTTTTATCTATAATATCCTGAAGTTTCAGCATCAAACATTAATATCAAATCTTAATGTGGTTGCTATAGCAACATGGGGGTAGGGGTGGGCGGGGCAGGTACCAAATTTTCTAATTATGAAAAGATCCAAAGTGTTATTTTATTAATATATCTTTCTTTTAAATTGTCAAAATGTTTGGGGAATTGTTAAATTTATTCAGCATGATGTTAACCAAGTCCAAATAATGACATTTAGCACAATAGTCACAATAGTCACAAATTCAGATTCAGTCACAGTCAAGAAATTGGAAAAATGGCTGCAATTCTCACCAGATAAAAGAAGGCCTTGCGTTTGGTGGCCTAATTTCATACTTCACTTGGACTCACAGCCACACAAACTTATGCTATCGTGAAGAAAGTATATCCAACAGCTCCAATAGGCCTAATCGAGTGAGAATTCCCCATTCCGGCAACCAACCAACCAACCAGGGCGTTTCTGATGAATGTCAATTAACATCTTGATTGCGTTGTGTTATAGCCTATTAACATCCCGGTTGCTAAAGCGAGGGGTTTCTTATTAGATTAATGGATGCACGTATATACTCGTGACCGATTCGCTTTTCAGTAAACTGGTGCTACAACCTGATGAACATACATGTACGGGTAAAATATTTGGATACAAATCGACCTCCTTCTTTGTGAAAATGATGCAAATAAAATATCCCCCGACGAAAATTCATCAATTTTGTTGTAAGGACGTAACATCTTTATAACCAAGTGGGGACCAGTAAGTAAAGCTAGTTACAGTTCAAAAACTAGCACTGTATACGGATATAATGTATATCTTTAACGTGAAGTAAACGTTAATGTTTGTTGTTCAAGATATTCTTATTTGACTATCATGACATGTGTGAATCTTTTAATGAAAACATACAGCTTTTAACATAATAATTTGACAATATGCATGTATTTTATTTAGGCAATAAACCGCTAATGTATCGCGTCTGGTGCACTGGAGGCTCTAAAACCGATAAAAAGGGAATCACCGTCCATTCAGGAACAGAATTCTTTAAAACCTACTTTGGACCAGTATTGATGAAACCCATATCAAAGGTGTTAGTGATCCTGATATTCTTGGGTTATTTAGGAGTGGCTATATGGGGCGTGTTTAACCTAAAAGAAGGTTTGGAGTTGAAGAACCTCGCCCCAGATAACTCATACGCTGCAAGTTTCTATCAACACGAAGACACCTATTTTAACTCCATTTATGGTTTGCGTCTACAAGTAGCAATCACACAACCTTTGGATTATTGGAACATATCCTCCTTGGGGCAGCTTGATACATTGATAGATGATTTAAAACAATCAAAGTGGCTTTTCACAAATGAGACACTGATCGAGAACTGGATAAGTGACTTTTCAAATTATCTAGAAATAACAAGACAGACAAATCTCAACAGTACCCAATTTATTGATACGCTAAAAGGACAATTTCTGGAGATTCCTGGTTATGAACGATATAAATTAGATATCGTATTCAGTGATGATGGTAGTGCCATACTGGCATCTCGTATTCTAATCCAGTCCCGTGGCCAACAAAACGCCAATCAACAACGGGAATTTATGAAAGAAGTTAGAGATATTGCAAAGAGTTCCGAATTGAAAGTCACCGTTTTCCACCCGGCATTCATCTTTTTCGACCAGTATTCGGTCATCTTGGTTAATACCTTGCAGAATATCGGTGTAGCCGTGGGTGTTATGTTATTCGTGGCCTTGTTGTTGGTGCCACACCCTTTGTGTGCGATTTGGGTAACTCTCAGTGTATGCTCTATATCAACCGGTGTTATTGGTTACATGACACATTGGGATGTCAACTTGGACTCAATCTCTATGATTAATATTATTCTCTGTATCGGCTTCTCGGTTGACTACTCGGCGCATATTGCTTATCACTTTGTCATCAGTGAGGCTGACAGTAAGAACAGAAAATCTATAGATGCTTTGCATTCTTTGGGTCTTCCGATTGTGCAAGGAGCTGTATCAACTATACTTGGGGTGGTCGTACTTTCCACAGCAGATACGTATATATTTCGCGCATTTTTTAAAACAATGTTTCTTGTGATCTCATTTGGATTTTTTCATGGACTTTTTGTTCTCCCCGTTTTTCTTTCAATTGTTGGCCCGGGCCCGTCAAGCTGTAACAAATCATCTCCAGCAAGAGTTAATGAGTTTCCGGCAAGAGTTAATGAGTCTCCGGCAAGAGTTAATGAGTCTCCGGCAAGAATTAACGAGTTTCCGGCAAGAATTAATGAGTCCCCGGCAAGGGTTAGTGAGTTCAAGATCCCTAGACCCACGGTCATAAAACATCCAAGACGTCTAAACAAACAAATGATAAATGATAGACCGCCACTCAAAAACCATTCGCAAGTCGAAAATGGCATGGCAATCAGAAGTTAAATTCATATTTCCTAAAATTTTAGCCAACGTTTAGGAAACAATGCACTTGGAATAATACGATCCAAAGACATAAGCATTTTCAAATTGCGTCTTTTACGTTTATATATATTTTACAAGTGGATCCAAGAGACCAAGTGGGCAAGTTCATTATTTTTCAGGGGTGGCAGGATATACACATATCAATTTCCACATACTCACAAAGAAACCCTACTAAAAGTTTAGTAGTCAATAAATATCAGATCTGTAAATTCCAAAATCAGAAGCGAATTCAATAATAACCAGATTAGAATCACAAGCTGGTATCGAAAGATTTGTCTGCTGTGACGGAGCATGCTATTTTTCATAAAAACACTAAGAATGCTTCACGATTTATTTTTTAACTCATATGTTTCGTTATATCAAAGATAATCACTTACTCCATGCAATGGATATATCATTTGCGTGTAACCTTCACTTCTGTTTGAAGTCAAATAACGCTAGGAGTAAAATCTATTGAAAACAGCGCCAGAGTATCAAACTCTAAAATGTACCATTTCTTTTTTAACTTTTTAATGGCATGTTATAGTGACACGATACTATTAACATGTGTTTTCAGCATAACTCTGAATGTATTAATGAGATATTAATGCATTGGGTCTTTTTAATTTTTTTATAAAAAATAATATTAATATTTTTTGTCCGCTGTGACGGAGCATTTTCACAGTTCACATTTGCAACTGCTCCGTCACAGCGGACAAAAAAAATTAAACATTATTTTTTATAAAAGAATTAAAAAGACCAAATACATCAACATCTCATTTATACTTTCATAGTTATGCTGAAACCATGTGTAAATATTATCTTGTCAATATATCGTGCCATTAGAAAGTTAAACAAGAAATGGTACATTTTGAAGTATGATACTCCGGCGCCATTTTCAATAGCTTTTCTTCCCAGCGTAATTGGACTTCAAACAGAAGTGAAAGTTACCCGCAAATGATATATCCATTGCATGGAGTAAGTAATTTTGTATGGTATAACGAAACATATGAGTTAAAAAATAAATCGTGAAGTATTCTTAGTGTTTTTATGAAAAATAGCATGCTCCGTCACAGCGGACAGATATTTCGATACCAGCCTGTGAGAATGCATAAATAAATGATTGGCCAATTTATCAGAATATTTTCATTTAGGCAACAGGCAATTTTTACAAGTTGTTTTTAAAAAATTGCCTGTTGTTTTCTCTAAATTTTGAGAGTATGCCATGGCGCTTTTGCGTATACACCCTATGCTTAGTGAGCGGAGCTAATTTCAAGGGTGATGGTAAAGACGAGGCAAGGCGCCCAAACCTAACTATGGCGGACCAGCAGTAAGTTTATTTCTCTAAGTTCTACTCTTTATTGGCCTTGTGCTGGCCTGTAACTACCTTCAGATGCCCATAATAAGATTTGTAATGTAAGAAAGATTCATACTTATATGTGAAACGGATACGAAGTGATGTGAAAAGAAAAAGTAATTTCCTGCATATTTTTTTCGATTATTTTCAAAATAATGATACTTCTCCCGCATAGAATTCCTTGATATTGCATGTAATTATTGTTGATGAACGCATTTATATCGTAAACCCATCCATTTCCCAATTTGAGCCATAATTGTAGTCAAATCAGGAGATTTTGATTCCTCGAAAGGAAGAGCAATGGTTATTGTAATAAAAGCGTGTTTGGACGAGCCGTGGAATAGGGATTACGTTTATTCTGTTTATTTTCAGATATGTGGGATTCCAGTGTTACTACTGTCACGGAAAATCAAAAGACTTTGATGAAATAATACACCACCTGATCAATAAACACCCTACAAATGAAATGAAAATTCGAAAAATCGTTAATGTCAACGGAATAATAAAATTAATTACAAGAATTTTTTCTCATGTGGTAACAACCTCTGACTACATCTGTCATGTTAACAACCTCTGACTACACCTGTCATGTTAACAATCTCTGACTACATCTGTCATATTAACAACCTCTGACCACATCTGTCATGTTAACAATCTCTGACTCTATCTGCCATGTTAACAGCCTCTGACCACACTTGTCATGTAAATAAAGTCTGACTTCATTTATTATGTTTACAATTTCTGAATACACCTGCCATGTTAACAACCTTTGACATCAACAATCTCTGACTACATCTGTCATGCGTCTGATTTTTTATGACTTTGTCAACATTTGTTAAAAAAAAGTGTGGGCCAGTTACCATTTATACAATTTTAAAATTATTTTAAGTTATTCTATTTATTCGTTCAACAACCAACACTTTTTGATAAATCATAAAATCAAGTGACTCCATGTTTTGCAAGTTTTTACCATTGATTGAAGCCTATGACAACCTTGCCCAAATTCATTAATTTATTAATTGACAGTGTACATTTTAGCTGAATTAGGCGTACACGTAGCAGCTAAGTGCTTGCCCATAGCCACTCCTATCCTCTTCGCAAATTACATCGCCATTGCTCGTCATCGAAATTCTGATCGCCGAATAGTAAACATTCATTTTGTATTGGATGTACATAACAAGAGACCGCCTTGTTTCGCATATATGAAAATATAAAACATATCTAGGTACATATATCTTTATATGTGACATCGATCAGGAATTATTGACATATTGACAATATTAGGTTGTAATTACTTGCGGTAAATTCAAATTGTATCTTTAAACGACTGTTTCATCTTAACTATTCGTTTTATTGGATGTAAAACAAACGGTATGCATAGTTTAACATCTTTCACTTCTAAAACAGCATAAAATATCACAATATCATCACCTTATGCTGCAATAATACGACTTAAAAGATTATGGTACTAATATTGTTTGGTTTTTGGGCGCCATGGCTCGTCTTTACCATCACCCTTGAAATTAGCTCCGCTCACTAAGCATAGGGTGGTATATGATGCTACGCCATTGCTGATTGGTTGCACCTCCTTGTCATTTGCTAGCTATTTTTTATAATAAATACTCTTTATTTCTTAAAATCATAAATAAATTTACATTGTTAATCATTTGCTAGCTCTGCCCCTACATAACCATATATTTGAGTCTACAGAATGGAAATAAGAGGATGGTTATTCAATTGACAGAAAAATCTGTGATCAGACTGGTGTTTCTTTACTTTAATCCATATCCGAGTCTGGCATTTAGAGATCTGGTTTTCATTGACTACCTAAATGTTACACCAATAGTCCATTTTCTCCACTTGGTCACTCTTAGATTGAGCCAAGTATTGGATGATTGGAGGCAGTTTTGATCAATTTTGCAAAGGGTTAATTTTGTTCTCATCTGTCTTAACAAAACAGGAATATCCCAGAATTCATACAGTCATAATTCTCTTATGTAAACTATATATTATTGATTGGCCAAGGGTTCATCTATAATCCTGGGAAATGACCTCTTCTGGATGTAAAGCGTGGGAACATCTGATTTGACCAGTTCCCATGAAAGTGTGTCACCGTCATTTCTCTGGAATGATGTACACTTACACTTACTCCAAAAGATTGGAAACAATTGTAGTAAAACCTGTGTCTCTGAACACTTGGCTAATCCAAACACCTCCATGAACATTTTTTGGTCCCGTTTTTCCTCCCATTGACTCAAATGTTAAAAAACCTTGAAAAACCTTTGTATAGATGGCTGAAGGGGATCAATATGCTGTTTAGAACATGGAAATCAAACGGACGCAGAGCCTAAAAAGTCGAAAATAGATGTGGAGACTATGGTTTGGAATATAACGAAAATGTCGGTCAGTTTCGGTAACATCGAAATTGCCGATCGTATCAGAAATTAACCGTCATCGCGGCACTGCATTTACAAACAGTAGGTTTGCAATTAATAACTATTTTGTGTGTATACACGCGCTATATAAATCAAACAAAGATACATGTTATCCTCAAAATTGATATTTTTATGCCGAGTAATCGCGATAATAATTATCAATCTATTTGACAACAATTTCGTTTCGCTAGTAGTTTAATTTTACGATCCCGGACACTCGGACGCACAGACACAATGACGGACATGCGGAAATGTCATTTTAGAGATTGGTAAGTGTAGCCTCATTTTACTAGTATAAATGAACATTTAACACAATAATTTTGTGTTAAATCGCTTGATGTTATGTGTTTTTATATTATTGTCAAGTATCAATTGCATGTTATCGCGGCAATTCAAAATGGTTTCGATGGATCCAGAACTTGCATCAAAGGAAAGAATAGTAAAGAGGTTAAACTCAACAACGGCCCCAAGAAAATTCCTAATAGTAAAGAACGCCGTTATTGAGTTTAACGACGTTGAACTACGTCACCACTGGAGTTGAGACCACACAATCAGCCAAGCCCATCAAGAGCAGCCAGTCTCCGAAAGTCGAGAGCCTACACTCTATGCAAGTCCCCTATCATCGTGATCAAGTCCACGACGACTTCAAGGGCCAGTCCCACAACCGATTGCCTCTTATCGTCTCGCATAGCTTTTATTATCTTTCAT